AGAAAGAGGAAGAGGAAGAGAAAGAGGAAGAGGAAGAGAAAGAGGAAGAGGAAGAGAAAGAGGAAGAGGAAGAGAAAGAGAAAGAGGAAGAGAAAGAGGAAGAGGAAGAGGAAGAGGAAGAGGGAAGGGGGATACCTCTTCTGGGTCATCATGGAAGTGATAGAGAAATACAGACCAATCCCGGCGGGGTTTAGAACAGGGCTGGCACCCCAGAACCAGACCCCAGACCCAGGCGTGCCCCTCCCCTCCATCTCCATGCTCTCCATTTGCAGTAGGGCCCCAGGCTGGGCTGAAACAGGGAGATGAGGATGGGGGGGGTCAGAGGGCGCCCCTCCTCCATCCTTCAGGGAGACATTACAATTCTGCCTCACTGCTGTGTTCGGGCTGGGGGGTCAGGGGAGAAGGGGAGGGATTTCCCTACTATTAGGCCACCGGAGGCGCGTCTAGACACGCTGGACAGGTGAGTGGGCTGCGATCAGACCTGCAGCCTGGACCTCGGGGTTCACCAAGGCCAGGGAACGATTTCCCACCAACACCCGGGGGCCGCTGTACCCTGCTTTCCCACAGTCAGAAGCCCTGCTGCCGCCCCGCTGGGCCGCTCAGGTGCTTACCCGGTCTCCTCCCCCAGCTCTGCCCACCAGGCACCCACCCTGAGGCCACTCTGCTGACCTAAGTAAGTCTGCAACTGCTGAGACAACCTTCTTGAAGGTTCGCTATGGATCCCTATAGACACAGGTATATAGGTATATACAAGAGGTGGAAACAATCAGAGAGGATCCCCACTCCTGACCTCACCCCCACAGGGCAGAGACCCCAAGCAACATGTCACAGGCACAGCCCTTCACTGTTCTCTCTTGGCTGATTGAATGTAGCTGGGGTGGGGGTAGGGGTCCCCTAAATAAGGATCCAAAATCCATGAGAGGAGAAGATGGGCTCAAGACCTGGACAGGTGGATTGTGCCTTCACCTTCCGTGCCAGAGGAAGGCACATTCCTGACCCAGAACTGGCAGAGATCTGAGGTGGGGAGGCGGGGAGGAAGGGGAGGGAGGGCGGCCCAGTACCAAGTTATTAGGAAGCACCGCAGAAATAACAAACACCTCAGGCACCGCGTCAGAGGCCCAGAGGCCGCCCTGGGGAACAGAATCTGTAGGAAAAGCTTCCTTGATGTGCTGCATGTATGTATGTTCTGAGCAAAGTAGTAGTCCCGGCTACTCCGGTGACAGAAACAGAAGGATCACTTGCAGGAAGGAGTCAATCAGGGCAACCCTGAACAATATACCAAGACCCAGTCTCAAAAACAACAGAAGGAGGAAGAGGAGAAGGAGGAGGTGGAGGAGGAGGAGGAGGTGGAAGAGGAGGAGCCCCCAAAACACTGAAGCCAGGCTTCATACCTATAATCCTAGCTCGTTAGTAGGTTGAGATCTAAGGATCTGAGTATTCTAAGCCAGCCTGGGACAAGAAAGCCTGTGAGGCTAGCTCCAACTCACCCGAAGTGGTGGTGTAATTCAAGTGGTTGAGTACTTGGCTTAAAGTCAAGCAAGTGCACAAGGCCTTGTGTTCAAGCCCCAGTACCAGCACAAAAAAAAAAAAAAAAGGAAGAGGCAGGGAAAGGAAAGGAAAGGGAGAGGTGGGTAGGGCTGGGACTCTGGCACCTCCTTTGCCCAGTGGTTAAAGCAAAGAGGCTCAGCGGAGGCATACCCCAAGTTTGCTGTGTAAACCAGAGGCCCTGAGCACCACTGTAGCTTGATGCACCAGCTTCCCACCATCCCCTGCTTCCCACGTACCTCTTACCCTACGCACCCCATAACCCAGCCTTGGTGTCAGGGCCCCAGCCCTGTCAGTGGCCTCCTGACCCTTTCCTGCTCACCCTCTTGGTCCCCCTGACTTCTGTGGTCTTCCATGGCTGTCCACCCTCCAGCCACCTCTCTGGACAAGCAACCTGCACCCCAGCCCTAGTCCAGGGTCTTGGCCCAGGGCCGGTGGGGCCCCTGACTTCTCCTTTCATCTCAAGAGCTTCTGGGACCAAAAGCATCTGACCGGCCTGGCAGGGGAACAGCCCATAGACAAGGCCACCAGGCTGGGTCTCCCAGAGAGGAGGCTGGACAGGGAGAGAGACGGCAATTCAGAAGAAGCTGAAATGGCCAGACCAAGGCTCACCCTCTCTCCACACTCAGGTGTCCCCACCATTTTCTCCCTGACCCTCCACCCCCAAAGTTCATTCTCTCCCCCAGAAAAGGACTCAAGAAATTGGCCTAGGGGCAGGGGAAGGACTTGGGAAAGCAAGCCATTTCCACAGGATCGGCCTAAAGTAAAGAAAGTACTGCTGAAGGCTCAGGAAGCAGCGGTGAATTCAGACAGGGGTGAAAGCTTTCACAATCACACTAGGCAAAGGGAAATCAAGAGGTCAGCTTAAAGACCTCACTCTAAGAACAGGCCCTGAGGCTGGTGGTTCACGCCTGCAATCACAGCTACTCAAGAAGCTGAGATCTGAGAATGGAGAGTAGGAAGTCAGCCCCAGGCAGGTAAGTCCTTGAGACTCTAATCTCTCATTAACCAGCAATAAATAAATAATAGGGAAGTAGAGCTGTGGCTCTGGTGGTAGAGACGCTAGCCTTCAGTGAAAAAGCCTGGGGAGAATGTGAGGCCGAGAGTTCAAGCCCCAGAAAAGGCATTAAAAAAAAAAAAACAAACAGGAAAAAAGGAAGAGGAACTATTTTCTGAAGCCTAAAGAAGGTCTGGGATTGTTTGCTCTGTGATATTAGAAAGGAAGAATCCGTGAGGGCTGGGAAGGTGGCTCAGTGGTAGAGTGCTTGCTTAGCATATATGAAGCCCTGGGTTCGATTCCTCAGTACCACATACACAGAAAAAGCCAGGAGTGGTGCTGTGGCTCAAGTGGTAGAGTGCTGGCCTCGAGCACAGAGAGGCTCAGGGACAAAGCCTAGGCCTTGAGTTCAAGCACCACCCCTGGGGGGCTGGGAAGTAGAATCTGTGAGTCGGGTGCTGGTAGCTCACACGTGTGATTGTAGCTACTCAGGAGGCTGACATCTGAGGATCCAAGTTCAAAGCCAGCCTAAGCAGTAGAGTCCATAAGACTTATCTACAACTAAACACCAGAAAACTGGTAGAAAGTGGTTGGAAGTCCTAAAGCAGCTCTAAGTCCTTGAGCACAAAAGCTCCAGGAGCCCCAGGACAGACAGCTTTAAACCTGTTAAAGCCCCACCCAAGTTCTTCAGGGTCTGCCTGGAGGCCAGGGTGGAAGGACAGAGAGGCATTTAAGTTCCTGCTACCCCCTCCCCTCACGCTAACGAGCCTCCACAGCTCTAACCATCTTTCCCCGCTCTGTGATTGGCTCCTGGCTTCTCTGGAGGGCTAACAGTCGGTGAGACTCAAAGGTTTCACCTCTGCTAGTCAAATACACCAGGGCCCACTCCCAGACCTCCCATGATTATGATACAAAGCTTGGGAGGCACAAGCACAGGAATCCTAGTAAAGGAACACAGTCTCCAAGACCTGGATTGGATTCTGGTACCACTCTTGGGCAGCTGTGCGACCTTGGCCAAGTTACTTAACCTCTCTGAACCTGTATCTATGAGAAAAGTCAGTTTGGAAATCCTGCCGAGCATGACAAGTACTCAAGCTGGGTGCTAGGGGCTCACGCCTGTCATCCTAGCTACTCAGGAGGCTGAGATCTGAGGATGGAGGTTCGAAGCCAGCCTGGGCAAGAAAGCCTGTGAGACTCTTTATCCTTCATGAACCAACTGGAAGTGGAGCTGTGGCTCCAAGCGCTAGAGCACTAGTGACAGCAGGAACAGTAAATGACAAGTTCAAGGCCCTGTGATTGAAAGAAAAAGTTCTCGCACCACAGGTCTAGCAAGGTTAAGACAAGACAAGCAGGCTGGGGCTGAGCCTGGGGTGCTGGCAGAGCCCTCTGCCTTCTTTAAGGCTGTAGGGATCCTGGAACTTCCAGTCCCCTGGGTGGCTTGGTGAGGGACTCCTGGGGGGAAAATGCAGCTTCAGATTCAGCCTGGGGGTTGGGGAGGGGGGGTGTCCTACGTGTAGGAGACCCAGACTTGAAAGAACAATCTCTAGGCCCCAAAGCCTCTTTCCATCAAGAAGCAAGTTCCCAGGAAGAAAATGGAGCCAGCCCGCATGGATCCCGGCCATCACCCCTACCTGAGCTACACAGGGGCGCGCTGAGGACAATTTTCTCTGCTGTCTCCAGACAGCTTTAACTTCAGACCCAGATGCTTTTTCGTCTATTTTTTTTTTTTTTTAAATCCACTTTGGGGCTTGAACTCAGGGCCTGGCCGCTGTCCCTGGGCTGTTTTCTCAAGGCTTACAGCACTCTACCCCTGGCAACCACAGCTCCAACCTCCAGTTTTCTGGTGGTTGATGGGAGGGAGGGCTGAGCCTCGGGCTTTCCTGCCCTGGGATGGGATGGGGGGGGGGGGGCTGGCTTAGAACACTTGGATCCTCAGAAGACCTCAGCCTCCTCCTAAGTAGCTAGGATGACCAGGCGTGAGCCACCGGGCTACCTTCCCCCCCCATTCCCCCCCTGGTCCTGAAAACATCGTGTCCTGCGGTTTCTGGAACTGTTTCTGTTTCCAGCAACTGAGGCACGGACTCGAGGTGGGGGTGGGGAGGGACAGGGGACCCCGGGAACCCTCTTTAACTTGGAGGCTGCCCACCTACCCCCACCCCACCCTGTGGGCCAGACCCCAACCTCCCTTACCCTTCTTCTGCCTTAGACTTGGTGCCAACTGGAGACTCCCCCCCCCTCTCCTCTTGGCCTCTGGGGAGGGAAGGGGTACCCAGCCCCTGGAGATCACCTCCCCCCCCCCCACTCCCATGCCTGATGCCACCCACAGCCTGGCCTCCCCCCCAACCCCATCCCAGCACTTCGGTGGGCGGAAAGCGATCGGATGGATGATGACGCCCAGTTGGGCGAAGGGACGGACGGACAGACAGACAGACGCGCGCCCCCCGGGCCCGGCTCTCACCGGCTGAAGACCAGGCAGCCCAGGTGGTTGATCTCGTGGTCGGAGCGGTGGCGGCTGTAATCCTCCCACAGGTCCTTGATGGCCGTGACCGCCAGGATGAAGAGGACGGGCGCCAGGGCCAGGCCGGGCTGGAAGGCGTTCACCGCCGGCACGAAGTTGAGCAGCGCGATGAAGACGAAGTAGACGTTGGCCAGGCGGTGGAACTGCTCGAAGAGGTTCTTGGGCAGGAAGGACAGCAGCGTGTACTTGGTGGTGTTGAGCCGATTGTCGGCCAGGTGCTGCGCGCAGCCGCGCCGGGGCCGGGGCGGCCGTCGGGGTGGGCGCCCGGGGCGGCCCTCGGCGCGGCCCGCCGCGTCCTGCGCGCCCGGCGGCAGCAGGTTGGAGCGCACGGTGCGCACGGCGCGCGTCCTGCCGTCCCAGCGCCGGCGTCTCCGGCGTCTCCGGCGTCTCCGGCGTCGCCTCCGCGGCTTCCCCGGGGATCCCGACGAGTCCTCGGACGACCCCGCTTCCCGCTCCATGGCCTCGGTGGCCGCCGTCGCCGCCGCCGCCCCAGCCCGGGCCCGCTCGCGCCAGCCTCCTTAGGTGATCATCGCCCGCCGGGGCCCCGGGCGCGGCCGTGCGGGGCTCCCCGCCTGCGGGACGCACCGGAGGGGGGGGGTGGGGAGGGCGGGAGGGGGGCGGTCAGCGCGCCCCGGCCCGCCCTCCGCGCCCCGCCCCGGCCCGCCCCGCCCCGGCCGCCCCGCACAGAGTTCTCCTTGTTCAAACTGCGCTTCTCCCGCCAGCCCGCCGGGCCCGGGCGGCTTCCGCCCTCCCGGGGCCGAGGACTGGGGTGGGGTGGGGTGGGGGGGGGGTAGAGGGGGGGCCCGCGCTCACCCCGCGCCCGGATCGGGGGAGACGGGGTGTGTGTGTGTGGGGGGGGGAATCAAATGGAATGAAAGGGTTAAAATCAAGGCAGGAAAGAAATGGTGGAAAGCCCGCGCGGGAAACTGAAGCCGACTTCACTTTCGTTTCCCCAGAGGCAGCTGTTGGGGTCCCCGAGCGAGCCCCCCCCCCCCCGCCATCCCGGGAGGAGAGAGGAAACGGCGGGAGGAGGGGAGGGGGCGACGGGAGGGGAGGACTCACCACGGTCCTCCCCACTGAGAGAGGAGAGGGCGAGCCACAGAGCGAACTCAGAGAGAGAGAGAGAGAGAGAGACCTCCCCACTGACAGAGAGAGAGAGAGACCTCCCCACTGACAGAGAGAGAGAGAGACCTCCCCACTGACAGAGAGAGAGAGAGACCTCCCCACTGACAGAGAGAGAGAGAGACCTCCCCACTGACAGAGAAAGAGAGAGACCTCCCCACTGACAGAGAGAGAGAGAGAGAGACCTCCCCACTGACAGAGAGAGAGAGAGACCTCCCCACTGACAGAGAGAGAGAGAGACCTCCCCACTGAGAGAGAAAGAGAGAGAGAGACCTCCCCACTGACAGAGAGAGAGACCTCCCCACTGACAGAGAGAGAGAGAGACCTCCCCACTGACAGAGAAAGAGAGAGACCTCCCCACTGACAGAGAAAGAGAGAGACCTCCCCACTGACAGAGAAAGAGAGAGAGACCTCCCCACTGACAGAGAGAGAGAGACCTCCCCACTGACAGAGAGAGAGAGAGACCTCCCCACTGACAGAGAAAGAGACCTCCCCACTGACAGAGAAAGAGAGAGACCTCCCCACTGACAGAGAGAGAGAGAGACCTCCCCACTGACAGAGAGAGAGAGAGACCTCCCCACTGAGAGAGAGAGAGAGAGACCTCCCCACTGACATAGAGAGAGAGAGAGACCTCCCCACTGACAGAGAGAGAGAGAGACCTCCCCACTGACAGAGAAAGAGAGAGACCTCCCCACTGACAGAGAGAGAGAGAGACCTCCCCACTGACAGAGAGAGAGAGAGACCTCCCCACTGACAGAGAAAGAGAGAGACCTCCCCACTGACAGAGAAAGAGAGAGACCTCCCCACTGACAGAGAGAGAGAGAGACCTCCCCACTGACAGAGAGAGAGAGAGACCTCCCCACTGACAGAGAGAGAGAGAGACCTCCCCACTGACAGAGAGAGAGAGAGACCTCCCCACTGAGAGAGAGAGAGAGAGAGACCTCCCCACTGACAGAGAAAGAGAGAGACCTCCCCACTGACAGAGAGAGAGAGAGACCTCCCCACTGACAGAGAGAGAGAGAGACCTCCCCACTGAGAGAGAGAGAGAGAGACCTCCCCACTGACAGAGAGAGAGAGAGAGACCTCCCCACTGACAGAGAGAGAGAGAGACCTCCCCACTGACAGAGAGAGAGAGAGACCTCCCCACTGACAGAGAGAGAGAGAGACCTCCCCACTGACAGAGAGAGAGAGAGACCTCCCCACTGAGAGAGAGAGAGAGAGACCTCCCCACTGACAGAGAGAGAGAGAGAGACCTCCCCACTGACAGAGAGAGAGAGAGACCTCCCCACTGACAGAGAGAGAGAGAGAGACCTCCCCACTGACAGAGAGAGAGAGAGACCTCCCCACTGACAGAGAAAGAGAGAGACCTCCCCACTGACAGAGAGAGAGAGAGACCTCCCCACTGACAGAGAAAGAGAGAGACCTCCCCACTGACAGAGAGAGAGAGAGACCTCCCCACTGACAGAGAGAGAGAGAGACCTCCCCACTGACAGAGAAAGAGAGAGACCTCCCCACTGACAGAGAGAGAGAGAGACCTCCCCACTGACAGAGAAAGAGAGAGACCTCCCCACTGACAGAGAGAGAGAGAGACCTCCCCACTGACAGAGAGAGAGAGAGACCTCCCCACTGACAGAGAGAGAGAGAGACCTCCCCACTGACAGAGAGAGAGAGAGACCTCCCCACTGACAGAGAGAGAGAGAGACCTCCCCACTGACAGAGAGAGAGAGAGACCTCCCCACTGAGAGAGAGAGAGAGAGACCTCCCCACTGACAGAGAGAGAGAGAGAGACCTCCCCACTGACAGAGAGAGAGAGAGACCTCCCCACTGACAGAGAGAGAGAGAGACCTCCCCACTGACAGAGAGAGAGAGAGACCTCCCCACTGACAGAGAGAGAGAGAGACCTCCCCACTGACAGAGAGAGAGAGAGACCTCCCCACTGACAGAGAGAGAGAGAGACCTCCCCACTGACAGAGAGAGAGAGAGACCTCCCCACTGAGAGAGAGAGACCTCCCCACTGACAGAGAGAGAGAGAGACCTCCCCACTGACAGAGAAAGAGAGAGACCTCCCCACTGACAGAGAAAGAGAGAGACCTCCCCACTGACAGAGAGAGAGAGAGACCTCCCCACTGACAGAGAGAGAGAGAGACCTCCCCACTGAGAGAGAGAGAGAGAGACCTCCCCACTGACAGAGAGAGAGAGAGAGACCTCCCCACTGACAGAGAGAGAGAGAGACCTCCCCACTGACAGAGAGAGAGAGAGACCTCCCCACTGACAGAGAGAGAGAGAGACCTCCCCACTGACAGAGAAAGAGAGAGACCTCCCCACTGACAGAGAGAGAGAGAGACCTCCCCACTGACAGAGAGAGAGAGAGACCTCCCCACTGACAGAGAGAGAGAGAGACCTCCCCACTGAGAGAGAGAGAGAGAGACCTCCCCACTGACATAGAGAGAGAGAGAGACCTCCCCACTGACAGAGAGAGAGAGAGACCTCCCCACTGACAGAGAGAGAGAGAGAGACCTCCCCACTGACAGAGAGAGAGAGAGAGACCTCCCCACTGACAGAGAGAGAGACCTCCCCACTGAGAGAGAGAGAGAGAGACCTCCCCACTGACAGAGAGAGAGAGACCTCCCCACTGACAGAGAGAGAGAGAGACCTCCCCACTGACAGAGAGAGAGAGAGACCTCCCCACTGACAGAGAGAGAGAGAGAGACCTCCCCACTGAGAGAGAGAGAGAGAGAGAGAGACCTCCCCACTGACAGAGAGAGAGAGAGACCTCCCCACTGAGAGAGAGAGAGAGAGACCTCCCCACTGACAGAGAAAGAGAGAGAGACCTCCCCACTGACAGAGAAAGAGAGAGAGACCTCCCCACTGACAGAGAGAGCCACAGAGCGAACCCAGAGAGAGAGAGGAGAGAGAGAGAGACAGACAGAACTCCACAGTCCTCTCCAGTGAGGGAGAGAGCGCAGGAAGGGAGGGGAGAGAGGGTCCATAGACCTCCCCCCCCCCAGAGATGAGAACCACAAGTACAAGTGTCTCCCCAACACACACCCAGACCTGGGAGAGGTCTCTGTGAGCCTGGGTTAATGAGGTACCTACCACCCCCTCCTCTCCTCCTGTCAGGCTGTAATCATTCTCCAATCTGCACATCTTGTTTTGGAAAGGATAGGAGCTTCTGGACAGCCTCCCCCTCCCCACATACACACCCCAGGAAATCGCTCTGCCTGTGAGCTCTGGAACTCTTACTATACATACTACTCAGCCCACATACACACCTACCTGCAGGGTTAGTGTGTGGGTGAACTTCACCCCCACAAATAGGGATTTCTCTCTCTCTCCCTCCCTCCCCCCTCTCCCCTCTCCCTCCCTCTCCCATTCTTCTCCTCTCTCCCTCTCCCTCTCCCTCTCCCCCCCCCCCCCTCTCTCTCTCTCTCACACACACACACACACACACTTTTCTCCAGAGGAGAATCTTTGCCCTGCATTCTGGCAACCGACAAGCTGTGGTCTGCACACATTTGAGTCTCTTTAGAAGTAAAGAGATCTGAGGGCTGGGAATGTGGTCTAATGGTAGAGTGCTTGCCTAGCATGCATGAAGCCCTGGGTTCCATTCCTCAGTACCGCATATACAGAGAAAGCCAGAATTGGTGCTGTGGCTCAAGTGGTAAGAGTGCTAGCTTTGAGCAAAGGAAGCTCATGGTCGGACAGTGCCCAGGCCCTGAGTTCAAGTCCCATCCTCCCACCCCACCCCCAAAGAAGAAGAGATGAGAAACTTGAGATTTGTGATCTGGGAGGCCAGAACTGGGTGAAGGGGGGGGGCTTCAATGAGAAATGTGCTTTGGGGGATACTGTTTGTTTGGATTTGGGGACTGGGTCATCTTTCTACTGGTCAGTCCCCCCTACTAGGTCTCCCAGCGTTGCTGCTCATGGCTGGTGCTCTACCCCCTGAGCTACTTCTCCAGGCTGACCTTTTGCTGGTTGATGAGAGATGGAGTCTGGTGGACTTTTCTGGAGGAGGGGGGAGGGAGTGGCTTTCAATTTCTATGCTCTTAGATCTCAGCCTCCTGAGTAGCTAGCTAGGGTTACGAGCATGAGCCATCAATGCTGGGTTTTGCTTCTGACAGTTTTGCTCACTTCATTTCCTCTATCCTGGTTGACATAGCCCTTACCTCGTGCATTCTGGCTTAGCCCAATCCCAACAGGCCAGGATGTCACCTTTCTACAGAGTAGGGTGCCAGTTAATAACTAGAGGCAAGTGCCTACACATGGGAAGTCTTTCCTTCTCACCCACCCTCCACCCCCTAGCCACAGGAGTCCAACTCTGAGGGAAGAAGGCCCA